TGCCAAAGGATTTGATATCAAGGCACCTCCTTGCTCTGTGCTTTGATATTTCTGGGAAAGCTGGCTGGTAGGTAAGGAGAGGTATGTTCATTAAGTGCCTTCACTCACAGTTAAAGGGCCAAGCACACTCCTGCTCCTTCACCCTTCTACAAGAAGTTCAGTGGGGATGAATAAAATGGTTAAAGGTGCGTGATGGGAAAACAGCCTGGTAGTTGCATTACCTCCATGATGGAGTGACTGCTGGCACAGCCCAGGGTGAATGCTCGTTCTTGTTCCCTCCCTCCGGCCATAATCCCTTTCTGGGATGGAGAAGAAACATCTTTGCTTCTCATTCATTAACAACCTGGCTGTGTGATTTGTGTGTTTGAGCCAAGTGGCACAATCTGACCTGTTCTGTAGGTTCAAAACAAGCTGTCCCAGATCATCGCCTCCCTTGCCAGAGGTGCAGATGCATGTGACGGGATCCTGCAACCCATAGCTAGATTGGTATTAGTGGCTATTAATAGAATTAGAGGAAGAGATTAGAAGGGGAGAAAATTCCAGCTCTTTCCTGGCAGTGCCTAGCTCTGCTCTGGTAGAAAACCTTCCTCATGCTGCTGACTCACTGCAGCGCATCACCCCAGTCCTTGTACACCTTATTTCTTTCTATCATGTCTGGATTTTAGATCTTTTTTTTTTTTTTTTCTTCAGAAAGCTGAAAATCAACCCCACACAGCTCATATGTCTGTGACACCCAAGCAATATGTTTGCCTCACATCGAAGCAACCAGCTCCTACAATTTTACTCCAAGGTTCATCCTCTTGTCCCTTTTTTTTCAACACTTTGGCTAAGAAGGTTTAAGCTTTCCAGAAGGTGATGTGAAGGAAAGAGCTGAAACCACAGATCTGCCTCCTCCTCAAGAAATATATCCAGAAATGTTTCACTATTTCAGTCCATGGAAAAAGAGAGCAGGACTGGACCCCATGCAGCTCTGGGCTTGCAGTGCTCCAAGAGACAAACAGGCATGTAAGCACTCTAGCTTTAAGAATTGATTTCCTAAGTGAGCTGTCAACTCCTGGTGGCTGGAAAAATCTGCAAACAATTTCTAGTCACTGAACAAAGCATATCTTTGTACTGTGCTGTAATAGTTCATTATTAAATAAGGGCTCCTTTGTTAGGCTATAAGAAATGGTGTGTACTCCGCCGCTCTTCACGATGTGCCTTGGTGTGACTTTGCAATGCATATAAAATTCTATTTCATGTCCTTTGAAAAGATGACATAGTGGATTATTTTAATTTCAGTAGGAAAAGTGCAGGGTGAAGCAAAGATCATAGCACAGCTCTGATGATTGAACTTTATTGCTGATGCTTTTGATTCACGACTATACAAGAGAACGTGGAGACTGGACTTTCTCTCATTTGGAATGGGGTAAATAAAGAACAACATGGGCAAAATGACTAGTGAGGAGACTGAGGGAAAACATTAGCAGCTGCAATTCTTACAAGTTGTGTTTCTTACTGGGCTGTCTTATTGCAGTTCCAAGCTTAAATGAGTCAAAAAAGGAATCAAAGGGCGTCAGTGTTTTCCCATCCAGAAAAGCAAATGTGTTTCCAGCTCCCTCCCTTCTTTCTTTCATGCTGCACCCAGTGAGTTCCCAGTAATCTGCCAGTTTTGGCCCTAGAGCTACAGATCCCTGTTATCCTGTTCAGCATCTGCTTGTGTCAGATGTTGATGTCTGGAGACCAGACTGAGGCACAGGCATGGTAGCTGTAAGCTCTTCACCTGTATGAGAGAGGCTGGAGAGGGAAGATCTCACTTGACATGTTCCTCACCCACATAATGCAAAATGCTTCCCTGGACCCTAGCCTTGAGGCATGAGATCCTCCTCTCTCTCTGCTGGCACATGAGACCTTAGGCTTTAACTCTGCTAAACTCAGTGTTTTCCTTCACATTTCACTCAAACACATTTTGTCAGACTATGACCTTTTAATCAACTCCATCAGATCATAATTTAAGATTATATCCCTTGTAGGTTTCATTTCTTAATATATTTTGCATGGGGTTGGCAGTGCATGAACAGAATGGTAGTTTTCCTGATCATTCCTTCCCTGTGTCACACCATCAGGGCTTTGGGAGACCCCCAGAGCTGATGCTTCCCACTGAGCAGGAAGACATGGCAACCAGGGCTGAAGCGGGCATTGGGCAAGTGGTTTCTCTGAGCCCTGTCCACTTTTGTCACTTGCCTGGGCTGTAAATGAGGCTTTTCCAATAAGTGTCCAGCTCAGCTCAGGCTGAGGCTGCTAATTCCAGTCGTGCAGGTGATTCATATGCCATCTAATAATAGCGGCTTTCTGGCCATGCCAGCACAATAACTGACCATGGAAAACTCCACACTGCTTTGGGCTGCCAGCCCATCAGCCTTCCCAAGCCTAGCTGGCCACGGCTGGTGATTTGTCTTTGAGGGCAGTGCTCTGCAGCTCAGCAAGAGGCTGCAAACTGTGCTGCAGGCATTGCTGTGAGCAGTGCTGGTCCTCTGGCTGCGAGTCCTGTGTCCCAGAGCCAATGCCACCATCAGGACAGTCTGGGAGCTGGCAGAAAACGCACTGCTCCTCCTGAAGTTTTACATAAAGCAGTTTCTATTAATAATCTGCTCTGCTGACCAGCAGCCCGCTCAGGTAGTTGGACTCAGCCTTTCAAGGGCAAAGCTGTGTTTGTCCTTACTTGCCACCCATGAATACTGTTTAGAGCATGCCCAAGAAGCTGCTATATGGCTGCCAGATTCATCTTGGTGGCAGAGCCAGTGCTACTCCTGCTACTAAAAGGCAACAGGAGGTTTGCTGGGGATGGCTCATTCACTTGTTTGGATGCTTCCAGGGAGGAAGGGCAACAACAGAGCAAAATGACACTCATGTCCCCAGCTAGACTTTTGTACCACCTTCTTCCATGTTCCTGTGGGATTTATCCTGCCTGGTGTTTGACCATATAAAAAGGAAAGCAGCAAAGTGGTGGTGGAGGCTGGAGAGGTCTCAGCCCTAGGGACATCGCAGCTGAAGCCTTGACAGGTGATGGGTCTATGTCTTGGCTGCAAATCAGAAACCAGGCCAGGGTGGGGATTACAGTCCCAGTTAGTCAATTAAGGATGTCCCTTCACATGGGGACAGTGGTGGCAGCAGAGCCCATGGATGGGAGTGGCACGCCCACAGTGGGATGTCTGCAGCCAGGCTGGCGCTGCACGTGAGTCATGATTCCCACAGCGTGGCAGCACTGAACTGCTGATACATTCTCAGGACCTTGGGCACAAAGATGGTTCTTGCCCCAGTGCTTCCAACCATGCAAGCTCCACAGTGGCCCAGGGGAATAACACATATCCAGGGGACACAGGGGCACTGCTGAGCCCTCAGAGGTGACACCCAACTGGAAGAGGATAAACTAGAAGCCAGAAAGCCAACGTGTGATGGAGCCGAGGAGGCGTGTGTGAAGCTGAGCAGGATGTGGCAGCATGATGCACAGTACTGCAGTGCAAACCAGGCACCCAGACTCACTCCCAGGTGCAAGGACAGGGACAAGGCGAACCATTTCTCTCCTGCCTTCAAACCCTGTGTCTGTGAGCACAGCTGCCCACACAGGCCTCCCACACAGTTGCCCCAGAACTTACCTGACTCTAAATCATGGGGACAGTGGCTGGCTGGGCAGGTCAGGCTGGGCAGGAAATGTGCTCCTCAAACAGCATCACTTGGATGCCCCTGGCTCCCACAGCTGCACAGCAGGGCCACAACTTCCCAGCAGTCATGAGGATGGGGCTGTGCTGCCACACCACCCACACTGAAGTCGAGGGATTTTCCTGGGAGGCAACTCTTTCATTGTTTCACTTTGGCCATTTGTTTGCCTTCCTTGATCTAAGCGGGAGCTGAGGTTTTGCAGACCCAAGGTCAGGGTGTTGTGGGTCAGGGTGGCACATTTCAGGTCCCTGTTCCAGTTGTGCTACCTGGCGAAGGATCTCAAAGCCAGATGTCAAGGTCCAGCTATGCTGGTACAAGTGATGGTGAGGCAGCTGTGGTGCTCACCTCCTGAGGGCATCTGACATGCTTTTTGGAGCCCTCCTCTACTACAAAAATCGTGAAATGGTCCCTGGGCAGAGGAGGAAGAGCTGGCCCTGGAGGCCAGCTGCCACAGCCCTGGGGCTGGCTCCACTTTTGCTAAGTGCATGTGGCACCTCTAAAATTGCTAAATGCTGTCTTTTATCTTTTCTACCTCTAAATCTGATGTTTTTGTTCCAGTGGACCAGCACTTATCAGCCAAAAGACTAACGAAATGGACTCAGCAAACACAGTGGCGCCACTATCTAGGGCACATTGGGAACAGCGTTTGGGGTTTTGAGGCTCTCCATTTTTAAGTTTAGCACAAGGCCAACCAAAGCATGGGAGGACTTAAATTTGCCCATTAGTGTTCCTTTTAAAGCAAGGAAGCTTGCATTAAAAACTGATAAACCCTCTAAAGTTTTCAGGACAATGTTGTCATAAAACTCATCAGCTGGTATAGGACAGGAGAAGAGAAACCCTGCTGCTCTGCAACCCACTCTTCTGAAGGAAAATACTTTGTATGAGAACATGCACAGAGAGGATCAAGTTCAGCAATGCTCATATTTAACTGGGTAGATCAAAGCCTGCACTACTTGCTTCAAGACTGTAGATTTTGTTTGTGGCCAGCTGCTCCTCCACAATGAAAAGTCCAAGGGGATTTCATATTCTCTTGGGCTTTCTCCAAAATGGGGGACCATTTTGCACCAGTGCTTCTGAAGCGAAGCTTGGTAGAGAGAGTTTGCACATAAGCTGCTGCAACTATGGGAGCTGCTAAAGATAGAGCCAACCCTGCAGCAAGTGACCCCAGACACCAGTCCTGTTTCAAACAGAAGAGGCCCTAGCTTCAGCATCAGCAGAGAGGTTGCTGGGGGGCAAGAGGATTCCCTATCACATTTTGCTGGCTGATGTTTCAGCTCTCTCTTTCTCTGCTCCTGCTCCAGCTAAACTGGAGTCCAGCACTTTCCAGCTGTCCATGCCAAGCAGAGCTCAGGTGAACAGCAGACTGAAACCTAAGCTGTCTCAGGACACGAAGGTAAGCAAAAAGTGCTATAGTGGTTCAAGACTGCACTCCACAGAGCTAAGAAAGACATTGCTGCCTCTGTGTCTGTGTGGCTGAGCCTCTGCACAGCTTCAAGCATTTTCTGTAATTGGGAGAAAACAGCAGTAATCTCCAAGGAACCTGCCAAGGAGAGGAAAAAATAGCATGCAGTATTTTTGGTTTTCCCTGTGCTACAGCCCAGCCTTGAGAAGAGGGGGAAAGGGCAGAGAGAAGTATCCAAGGCAAGGAAAGGACTGGACATGAAGCAGGTGTAGGAGCTGTGCCACTGGGCTTGCTAATGCTGTGCCAGTCTGTAGTGAGGCCACATGGCAGGCGGGGACTGAGACACCACACCACAGACTTCAAAGTGACATGAATTCCTCTAATTCCTTACAATAAATGAAACAAGTGGGGCACAGTGTGTCCCTAGTAATGGTGTCCAAAGGAGAGCTCTTGCTGCCTGGGTCAGCAGCGGGAGCTTGCCTGCTCCAAGGGTGATGTGAGCAGAAGAGCACAGCCTTGGGGGACTAACCACACTGCTTCTCCCTGCATGGCTGACAAGGGAAGCTTGATATTTACTGTTGCTGGAAGGGCGCAAACCCCCATCCCCACAGATGCTGCAGCACACTTTGCCACTTATTGCAGCCCTATAGACCTCTGGCTCGTGTTGTGCCAGTCTCCAGCCTTACCATGGGCACTGGGACCTCTTCTCACTGATGGTGTGCCACCAAGGAGTGACAAGTGCGAGGGACACAGTGAAGGTGAAGAGACTCTTAGCTCAGGCAAGAAAGAATTTGATGTGCAGGCACTTCAGGGAGCTTCTGAGAGGTACCTATTTGCCAGTGAGGTCCACAACTCTGAGGGTTCAGTGTCTGATGATTGTTTCACCCACAGTATGAACTGGATTTTTTTAACCCTCTTTTATATCTGCAACCTTCTAGTGAGAGTTCGAGGTCAGATTCTACAGCAGGATGATGATGGGGTGCTTCAGACCATTTCTTCTTTGAAGCTCTGTCCCAAAAGCCATATTCAGGCAATGTCACGGTGTGGGGTCCCATAGCCAAAGTCAAAGGAGTTAACTGAGAGCAGTGGACCGGAGGTTGAAGTGGTCAGCGATGACAGGAATGAGACATATCTGCCCTTTCCCAGCAAAAGCCTTCTAGGCAAATAAAAGATTTTGCCAGTGAAAACATTGCCACAATGCTTTGGCAGTGTGGTATGTGCTGTAGCTCTTCAAAGCAAAACTGCCTGAAGACAAAATAGGCAAATTGAGTTTTTCCTATGGCTTGGGAGGGCTGGTTGCTCTTATAATGGAAATCGGAAGTTTTCAAGCAGCAAAGGTGCAGCGGAAACCATGCTCAGGATGGGGAAGCACACATTTCTCATAGTTCTCCCTCAGGGTATGCTGCCTGGAGGCACAACCCTCTCTCTACGCAGCCCTATAGGTGCCTCCACTTTGGGATTTTTCACTAAGCGTTGCTATAGGAACTTAATTACTTCTGTTCATCCAGGTCTGAGCAGCTCCTTGCTCCCACTCCTCCTCTCTAGCATGGGGTTGGCAGCGCTGGGGCTCTGAGGACAGCAGCGGATGCTCAGGTACGGCAGGAATGAGGTTGTTCAGCTCAGCTAATTAGTGCTACTATTTCTGTCTCTGGCCTTTTCTCAGTTTGTATCCATCTGGGGCTCTTTTCAGTCATTATAGAGCTTTCCACCCTCTTGTTTTTTTCCTCTCTCCTCCTCTGTCTTCCAGATTTTTGCCACTGTTTCATGGTTCTGTCCAAGTTATTTGTCTCTTCTGTCTTGCTCTGGTCGTGGGAACATTAGTAATGTTTTTCTGCAGAGCAGAGTGGCTTAGAGACCGCCTTGCAGACCTGACAGCCATCCTAGTGCTGCTGGCAAAGACTGGAGCAGCTCAGCCAGCCCCTGGGAAACGATCCTGTTTATGGTTCATCACCATCTGATCTACCCACTGCTTCTCTCTCCCGCCTGGGCCCAACTGTGCTGCTGCCTTGCGCAGCCGGGCAGGAGATGCAGTCCCGCTCACTTGCTGCCTGCTCTCCTGCTGCAGCCACCCCGTATGTGGGGTGAAGGGAAGCGTGACTCACATGGGCCTCCCACCCATGAGTAACAGTGTTGGTCTATCACGTCTCAGCCAGCTGGGGCAGCTTGGAGGGAGGGCGGCTGCTTCCTTGGCAGGGCATGAAATAGGTCACTCCGAACCCAGAACATGGGTGAAACAGGACCAACGCTGCAAGACATGGCAGCAGTGAGCAGCCTCACATCAGATGCAGGAGCAGTACCCCATAAAGGGGGGCGGGCAAGGTTGTATGTATGCAGACAGACATAGGGCACATAGATTCCTGTTAAACACCATCAGTTCTTCCTTCTTCCTTGCCCAAACATGCTCTTTTTTTTTTTTCCTGGGAGGTGAACAGGGACAGTCTGAAGCCAGTGAGGGAAGACAGGCAGAGATGGTGGGAACACAAAGCAGTTATGTGCTTCTCGGGGTGGAAAGAGGCCCAGGTTATTAAATAGCAGGCAATTTTAGCATGAGTTATTAATACTAGTTGTTTGTACTGGGAAGTGGTGCCTAGGGGCTCCCATTGCACTAATCATGTAACAAAGCTGTGTTCCTTACACAAATAGCTTGTGTTTCAGCCTGCAGAGAACAAGTCGTCTCCTTCCCATTATTCCCTCTTTGAAAAAGCAGCATGAAGATTACACAGTCGAGCCCACAAAAGCTGGGAAAGGAAAAAAATTATACTAGGCTGTCCTACAATGCCACTGCTTACATCTAGCCAGCCCAGTAACTCCATCAGAACTGTGGGCCCACACTGTCTGCTCTTTCCCTACTTCACCCCTGACCATGGCAGGCCTGGCCTTAGCATTATTGGTGATTTTTGTGTTGCCACTGTCTTTGGTGTTTGAGTGGAATAACATTGTGCCACCTGTTTAGGGTACGGGGTGGGGGGGGGTTCTGGGGTGGGTTTTTTCCTGCCTTGTTGACTGATGCTGTATATCTCTGTTGTATTTTTCTCAGGCTTTGCAAAATGCATTTCTCTCTCAGGTACATGCTCTTCTGAAGTAAGAAACCAATTAAATGAATCAAATGAACTCATTTACAGCCTTGGCACTAAAGCACAGACTAAAGGTCAACAGCATCTGCTGATTTTGGATGATACAAACCACGACTGCCCTGCTATTTTTGTTTTCCTGAGGATTTGGCATTATTTTGAGCTTTACCACATGGAAACACAGGTCTTCCTGTCCCCGGCTGCAGCTTTGAACATACAGGTCTTCATTGGCCCAATCTCAAATCAGGGGGCTGTAGCCCCAGCCCTTCACCTAGAAGTGCTCAGCTCTGGAAATGCTGTGGCCCTGGTGCTGGACCTCACACCGCAGGACAGTTTCTTCATCTGCACCCTCAACACAGAGCACAGCCGAACAGAGCAAGGGTCCCCATGTCATCTCCTGCCCTCTTGACATTCACCCTGAAGTAGATCAAGCTGGTGGGAGTGATACAGCTGAAAGACAGGCACACAGGGTGTGGTTAAGGGTAGTGGTGTGATAGCACAGTGCAAGCAGCACAGACAGGGGCTGTCAGTCCAGGTGTGTGTGCTCCCTTATCGTAGCAGGTGTGCAGTGCTACTGACACTTGTGTAGCATGATGCTCTGCACGTGAATCTGTGCATGTCTTCACTGCATTAGCATGTGTGAGCTGGGAGTCCCTCCTCTCCCACTACCTGGTAAGGCTCGGAAACACCGCATTCACCTCTAAGCCCGTGAGGCCACGCTCTGTGGTCAGCATGGAACCTGCTACTGACCCCCCAGTCCCCACAGGCCTCCTTGTCTCCCCACTGGTCCATCATGTCTTTGTCTGAGGCTTGTTCCATTGAGCACTGACAGCTCAACAGAGTGGTTTGTGAGGTACCAGCAGTGGAAACAAAAGGCCTTGAAATGAGAACAGCCCAGACACCATAATATTGCAACTTCTTTCCTACTATTTACCACAACTAACTTAATGTTGACCATGACTGTTGCACTCGACAGGAGCACACACTAAGTATGTCCACCTTGAAGATGACTGCATCTAGGTCTTTTGTGGATCACACAATAACCCATCTGAGCAGACATCTACTGACTAATCCAGTCAGAGGAGCTTCTCCTCCTCCTTCCCGTGCTTCTTCATGGGTGGGCAAGCCTTTGTGAGAGACCCTTGGCAAGCAAGAGATGAAAACTCAGCCTCCACAGAACAGCCCAGAGTCTAGCACAGCTTGGATTTGACCTCTGAACCAGCTGCTTCTACAGTAGAGTTAACCAGGTCAGTCTCCCTCCACCTTTCAAACACTTTATCTGTGTGACACTGCATTTTCATTTATTTTTCCACTCGACACCCCTCTAGAGGGAAGGCAAGTGCCCCGTTTTGTTTTCTGATCTGTATTTTAAACGGTGAATGAAGTGAAACAACAGACTGAGAAGCAGAAAGGGAAAAGCGAGCAGCTATGAGTAGAAGCGACTCATGAGCTGATTGCAACCAGGCTCTTCAGACAGATGAAAAAATAACTCCCTCCCCCAAGGAGATATTTTAATAGTTGAAAGCTAAGAACTTAAGTACAAAGGCTTTTGTTTTTATTGACATTGTAAGAAACATTTTTTTCTTTGTTACAAAAAAACTAAGTGGTTCTGAAAGCAGAAGTACAGTTCATATGTACACAGTGCTACAGACCCTTCAGATCAACCTAAGGCTTGAGAAACATCAGATCATAACTGCAGGTTTATCAAATGAAGACCACTAAGGCCTGTTACAGCTGAACACTATTCCTACCATACATAAATGTATTTACACATTCTCTTTTCTTTTTTCTTTTTTTTTTCTTAAAAAAGGATTACAAGCTTTATAAAAAAAAATTTTTAAAAATTGGAAAAAAAAAAAAAGAACACATTTTTATCTTACACATCTGCAGGACTGACAACAGTGACTGTTCCATAGGAGACATTCCACCAATCCAAGGACAATAACACGTGAATACCAGAGGTTTACAAGACGTTTTAGACTATCGACAGTGGTATGTGCTATTAACTGAACGGCAAGTACAGCCTCATCAGGAAAATTTGGCAACACATCCTGGTCCCTCTGTTTTGCAGGGTCAACGCAAAATAAGGCACATATATTGCGAGAATATAAACACTGCTGTTCATAAGGATGAGCCATTGCGGAATAGGCGTGGGTGAGCCGACCAGCCATTTCATCGAGGCAGGGGGGGAAGCAATGACTGGAAATGAGCAGCCAGCCAGTATCTTAATGCACGAACCATTTGGGGCCATTCTCCAAGGAGAGAAAAGCATCATCTGTCAGGTGCATGTATGGGGCCATTCCACTCACCAGCAAAGCCCCTGAGGAAGCTCACTGACTTCCCTGCAAACACACTTTTCCTTCACCTGGGTGTAACTGACGGATAAACTCTCACTGGCGACTTCCACTTCATGGAATGTAAAACTGCCTGAAATTTCAGGCAGGCTAAATGTTACTGATGCTCCCAAGGCCAAAAGTAGTGAATATGGAAGAGCCTCTCAGAGCCATTAGAAGCAAGGTGATTTTAGACTCAGGCTGCAATGCTTTAAAAAAAGGAAGTTCATGATATTTTGTGCATTTTCTAGACCACTAGGAAGAACAGTGGGTTTCCAACAGCTATGGCAGAATTCAACTGATGTGCCAGATAAACAAAAGCAAGCTTTGACTCTGTAACTGGAAGAGTAGTTGTAGAAGGGTACCAGTAAACATGTCCCACCAATGCTGGTGGGACTTTCCCCAGACTGCCACATGCTGAGGAGGAGGCTGACAAGTGAAAGCTGGTGTCCAGCATAACAGACCCATGCTCAGAGAGACCAGTCTACCTCATCAACACAGAACCAAAGCCCAAAATAGCTGAGCTATGATGTATTGCTACCCTCACAGGTACCAAAATGGGTTCTTTCAGCATAAACCAGAAAAGTATGAGAAAATACTAAATACTGAAAAGAGACACATGAACAAAAGTGGAACATACGCTTAATGGTGAAAATGATAAACCATTTGTACAAACTCCCCAGGGACACGGTGGAGTCTCTGGTTCTTCACCTCTGCCAAATCAAATGAGACGCCTTTCTGGAGCATGTGATTTCTGCCAAGACACACTGTTGGCCCAAGACAGGGGTAAGTGAGTGACAAAGGTTTGTCAAATCCAGGAAGGCAAATTAGCTACTCAAACAGTCCCTTTTAGCCTTGAGCAATATGAATGGCTCCTTCTAAATTCTGATGGATCACATCTGTTAATAGCTTCCCAGCATCAATTGCACCAGCAAATACAATTATGAACTGGAAAATTGAGTTTAAAAAAATAGTTGGGGATGGTTATTTTTTTTTTTAAATGTATTGGCTCTATAACAATAAAAGGATTCTCTCCCAAGCCACCTACTCCCAAGCTGGTCATAAGTCTCCTTGTTGAAATTGTTTATAAACATGTAATTGATGGCTTAATAAACAGCCAGTGATTGGTTACCAGGAAGCATCTGAAACATGTCCAGCACAGCCCTTCATGCATCCTTTCATACCCCAGCAGCAAGGCAGGGACAGGGGTTGTGTACAGGCAGCAGGTCTCTAAAGGGCTGCCTCTGTGCAATGAGAGCACAACAGGGAGCAGCTCTGTCATGCTGCAACAGCAAACCCATCATTTGCCATGGTGAACTGTGCCCAATTGCCCTTGCAGCTCAGGGACCACTGCAACCGGGCTGTGATAGTTAGTTAAGGGCAGGGAGGCTGGAAGGGGAACTGGCAAAGGGTAAAGTGCAGAATGGGGGCATATGCATCCATAAGATGGGGAGAAAGAAATGCTGGCTAAAGATTCAGAGAAAGACAGGAGCTGGCTGATGACAAAAGGTGTAAGATATTTACATTTGTCTTGATTTCTGACATTCCAGCTCACAGTGCAAATCACTTGGTATATGCTGTGATAAGCCCAAATGTGGCCCGAGCACTGGATTTCTGTGTTTTCCTACTGATTTACAGCTTTGTCCTCTGACTCTAACAGCTGTTAACAGATCAGTGTTATCTGACAGCTTCACAGAGGTTCCATTCCTACACATTTCCTCAAATGCCATGACCTGAATCAGCTGGTATTTCATGGGTTTTTTTTACAGTTGAAAAAAAGTGCTATGGCTTTATAGCCTATAGAAATCACCTTCTGGTGCTATTTCTAATATTCACTGGGCTAAAGTTTATCTGTATTTCAAAATCGACCACACTCCCTCTTCCCACTGTATGTCTAAAATTAATACCAGCTCCTTACAGACATCAAATCTATGACTGTAAGTACCTGAACCATTTACATCCCATAGCTGCACTTTACTATCAGGATTTAACTAAGAAGTCTGCAAGGGCTGGACCTACACACAGCTTCTAGGAGTAAGCATAAACCTTGGTCTTGTGACTCTATTTCCCACCCCAGCCTGTTTACCCAGGAGCACTGTGTGTTCAGGGGTGCAGACATGGAGCCCAGCATAGCCAAAAAACATGCTGGAAGAGCTAGTGCTCACAGAGCAAATGCCATTCACCTCTGCCAGTGAGTAGCTTCACAACCACAGTGCATTGGTTTCAATTGTTTGCTTGTGCAACTGAGCCTGGGCATTGACCCACTGGTTTGTTTTGAAATGTGGTGTCACCGAGAGAGAGAGACTGGCTTGGTCTTTCTTTGGTTAGAGCATGGTGCTAATAGCATTTACTTGGGAGCTGAACTTGATGATCCCTGTGGGTCCCTTCCAACTCAGAATATTCTGTGATCTCTTAATTTTTGCTGTTCCCCTTGTTTCTTTGCAATTTTCAATGACAGTTTAAATTTCTTAATTTTTTAAAACCTGAACACAGTGGAAAAACATGTAAGATTATCAGATTGCTTGCAATTGCTTTATTTGGCTAGTCTGAGAACTGGGTCAGCCATTTGGTTTCTACTTCTTTTGCATGACATGACCATGATGCTTTTGAAGCTGTAGTTGTGTGTTTTTTCAATGGGCATTTACTTATTTTAAAACATACATTTACTTATTTTAAACCATCCATGAAGCCATATGTTCTAAAAGGGATGTACAACACATTTTTCCTGACAAAGGAATTGTTACTGTGAATAAGAACCAATGGCTCAGCAAATTACAATTTGCATTAAAAAAAGGCCCCAGTATGGAAATACTGCTATTTTGTTATTCCATTGTATGAAATACACCATATGACCCTGATCGTATCTCCACAAATGTGGTATGCAATGAGAGGATTACAGACTACACAAGTCACAAACACACCTATAACTTTACTATCCAGTCATTTAAAAGAGAAGGCTGAAAAACAGAATATCAAATACTGCAAAAGATGAGAGTTGGACTAAAAACAGCTTTCTGGTCCTCTCCTTGCTCTGAAATAGGTCAAACACGACACAATCTCATACCATTATTCAAGGTAGTGACATCTATCTGTGTGTATGTTTACAAAAATCTTAAAACATTCACTAGGGATCAAAGGGCTGAC